GAAGGTTTAAACCATGTAGAAACCTTGTCACAGTTTGCTCGTCATCTTTTTCCAATTGACATTTCAACCTTAAAGTATTCATTTCTTGGCAGTACTCCATAACCGTCTTACTACCTTACTTCAAATCTTGTAATTCTCCACGAAGTTTCCTTTGAAAGGAAGCTGGAACAAAAGCTTTGCGCATTACACGTGAAAGCTCACTCCATTTAGTGATTTGAGGCTTATTATCTCTTCTTCTCCAGTGTTGTATCTCATTCCGCCATGTAAAAGCATATCCATGAAATTCAGACAAGCTAAATTCAACTTCTTTTCCTCAAAATAATTGTTAAGATTAAAAATCTGAGTTATATGATCTTCCCAATCAATATAAACATTCGGATCAGGCTTGCCAAGAAACTCCGGAATCTTTTTCTTGATAGTGTTCATGTTATCATAAAATCTAGGTTGTCTTTGACTCTCTTGCCTAAACTCCCCTTCATTCTCAACACCACCACCATCATCATCATGTTGTTCCCTTGGAATTCCTTCATTGATATTCCTACGTGCAACATTAGTTACCACTAGAACCCTAACTTGGGTAAGTTGTTGTACTTGGTGTGTGGTTTCAGCTTGTTGTTCTTGTTGTTGCGCCATCGCCGCCGCCATAAGTTGCAGTTGATTGGTTATTTCCGCCATCTTATCTTTAAAATCTTTCACCGTATCATTTAGCATTCCATGTTGAGTCTTGTCCCCCATGATTCTGCAATTTTAAGAACACAAAACACACACAATAAAATAGAATATCAAAGAACGCACTACCTTGTTACCCCTCCCAACTATCCTATTCACTCCCCAAGATCACTCAAGAAGGTTTAAAATTTAGCAAGGGATGGATTCACTCTTTTCTTACCATGGTCTTTGTCCTTCAATCCTTAGTGCACTGAAGGTTAGTGCTAGTTTGTGCAAGCGACTAAAGAGGTCAAAAAGTATGGTTCCGAATAATTGTAACAAGATCTAAGAAAGAACACGAATATAGATCGAATAGTTACAACTATGAAAACTTAGATCTCACGAAAAAGGCTAGTAGAACTTGGAGCAAATTCTGAAAATTTAAGCTTCGATTTAGGGTTAAGATGAAACCCTAGTCTCGGCAACTAAACAAATTTAGGGCTTATATTTTCGAAAACCCTAGCCACCACAAACTCCAAATAATTTTGAAAATAATATGCAAATAATTCAAATAAGGTAACCTTTAATATACCTCTATAAAGAAGATACTTTCCTTTTGAATACACTCTCAAATCTGCTTAAATAAGGTAAATTTAATATACCTTTAAAAAAGAAAATACTTTCCTTTTTATATTTTGCCTTTTATTTTATTTTTTCTTTCTTTCTTTTTCGGCAACTTTCTTTTATTATTTTTTTCTCTTTTTTTTTTCTTTCCTTATACTACAAAAACGTGATCCAAGGGTTGGAAAACCCTAAAACCGAAAATAAAACCCTAGGCAGCAAATAGACAAAGCTGCCGCACTATTATTTTCAGCACAGCCGGATCTAACAAATCAACTTCAAACACATTCAATCAAGAACAATTTGGAAGCAAATAGTAAGATCTATTACAAAAGACTCAAAAATATAGAAGAACAAATCTTCGAAAAGAATAGAAAAGAATAAAGAGTTTCCTCTCGTCTCGTATTGAAAAATCAATAATTATCAAAAGTATATGAATTATGGTCGACTATCCGCCTTTATATAGGCATAGGTTGGCTTGGACAAAAGAAACCGGAATACAAGTTCAAATCGGATTTGTCTATCTAAGTTTCATAATATAGATTTAAATAATAATTAAATAAATAATTGCAAATGTCACAATTATTTAAAACTATCTAGATTCTTCTAGAAGTTTAGGAGAATCGGCCATAAGGGTTAAATGACCGAAAAATCTTTTTCCTACTCAAAATAGGAGATTAGGAAAAATCTACCCGTGGGTGTCGACCTCCTCGTCGACCAACATCCTGGTCGACGCAATCCTGTCGACCTTGCTGTCGACCAACACCTTGCTCGACCCCATTCTGTCGGCTTTGTTGTCGACTTTCTCTCCTTGATTAAGAGCTTGACATGCACTAAACGTTTCAACTCTACTTCAAGATAAGCATGAAACCCATAGATTTGAATTCACATTGAGAGCTTGAACATTCATGAACAAATTGTTAAGCGATTCATTCATTCTCTTTTTTAAAGACCTCGTCATAGGACCTCCAATATTAACTAATAGATCTTGAATCACTCTTTGAACTTGAACTTGATTATTTGGTTGAATATTGAATTCTCCTTGAGCTTAATCACTTAGGATGTTAATACTTGCAGCTCGATGTTCTCCATCATCAGAAATTGCTGCTGCCTTGGATGAAGTTTCTCCAATTTCACATACCCTTGGCGGTAGGGACGAAATCATAGCAGGAGCTGGATCAGAGGCAGCCACCCGAACAAAGAGAACATCCAAAAGCTTGAGTTGTTTATAAATAGTAGGCTAGGGGAAGTAACAACAGAACGCGAAGTCGACCCAGTTGAATTAGATGCTTCAGACCGTGCTGGTGCCATTGTTGACTTAGCCTTAACAAAATTACCGTTCAACAAATCCTTATACAAAACAGGGGATGTTACCAAATTTGCCAATCGAGAAGCAAAAGGTGGAGGAGTGGTTGTCTCAATAAAAGAGCACGAGTGATGAAGAGGATTCCACCCCTTTAGATACAAGTTCCACTAAGAAACTACTAGCAACGCTGACCGAACTAGATGGCAGATTAAGTTGTTCCACCCCTTCAATCCTAGAGCTTAAATTCTCAAAACCTGGGACGTTAAACCTCTTGTGGAGGCAATTGCTGCAGAGCTAGTTGAAGAAGACATCATGCCGCACGAAGATGAAGACATTTCCATGTTACACGCCCCCTAGAAGACATCATGCCGCAAGAAGACATCATGCCGCACGAAGATGAGGACATTTGGATACTAATTCCCCCAAGCTTAAGCAAGTTACACCACCCCCAATTCAGAAATTACATTCGTCAAGCTAGAAGAAGAGATATCCCATTATAATTGGAAGAATTCCTTCTCGCCGATCTCAATTTCGGTTGAATTTGAGCAGATCTAGGGTTATCACCGGAGAAGCCCCACGACCGTGAACATGTTTTCAGTTCGATGGGCATTCAAAGTCAATAATATGTTACAATGTTGTTTTGACGTAGTAAGCCCGAACCTCAAAGGAAATCGAACCAAAATGTATTTCCTTAGTTTTATACATTGTCCCTATATCTCCTCTTTTTGTTTTTTTTTTTTTAAGAATACCTGCAAGGTACAACCTTGTTTCATTAAGGGAAAGAATGTAAATTAAAATTAACAAATGAATTTAATTGAATTCCATTTAAGTGCTCATCGAACTAGTATTTCAAAAATAAGTATTTTTATTTTTAGAAGACAAAACAAATATAAAATTTTTATCTCTATACTTAATTGTAGAGTTGATTAACATATATATATATATATATATATATATATATAACTAATAGAGAAACCGGAGAGAGAAACTAAAATTTGTTTCTAGAGTGCGATTTATGCCAAAATCTAATATGTCATTTTTTCATTAATTCTCAAAAAATAAATTTTATGTAATTCTTGAAAAAGTCCTTTACTTTTATAGGAAAAACAAGGTGACACTAATTAAGGTTGAAGAAGAAAAACTTATAAAAAAAAATATAACCAAATCTTCAATATGCCTCCATCTAAATTCCATAACAAATCCATTAATTATTCTCCAACTTTATATATTGTGGATTATCTTTTGTGGATGATGGTTCATGGTTGGATTGTTCTATTCTCTTCTTATTTAATCACTCTCAAATTATAATTTTCTATCATGATATAAAAACTATATTATTTTTCATGTATAATGTTATAACATTTTCTCATTTTCATGTATAATGTCATAATGTATATTATTTTTTGTGTTCATGAGAAACTAAAATATGTTTCTAGAGTGCCACTTATGACAAAATCTAATGTGTCATTTTCTCATTAATTCTAAAAAAATAAACTTTACGTAATTCTTGAACAAGTCCTCTAATTTTATAGGAAAAACAAATTGATACTAATTACGGTTAAAGAAGAAAAACTTATAAAAAAAATATAACAAAATCTTCAATATGCTCCATCTAACTTTTGGTTTCGATAACAAATCCTTAAATCATTCTCTAACTTTATTTATTGTGGATTATCCTTTGTGGATGATGGTTCATGGTTGGATTATTCTATTGTCTTCTCATCTAATCACTCTCAAATTATAATTTTTTTTATTATGGTATAAAAAATATATTATTTTTCATGTATAGTCTTATAACATTGTCATTTAATTTATTATGCAAATTGATACACTTACATATACTATTTTTTATATTTTATGAATTGTTCACAAAAATGTTATAATCCGCCCCGCACATCGTGTGGGTATAACATATACTCCCTCCGTCCCATAATTATTGTCCAGTTTTACTAAAATGAAAGATTTTATTTTTTGTCAAATTTAACTATATTTTACCTTCAACAACCGGATATACCCCTACATAAGTAACTGTTTAACCACTAAGATTTTATGGATAATATTTTTTACCAAGGACAAATGTGTAACTTGATCCATAAAAAGTCAAATTGAACAATAATTTTGGGACTAAATTTTTTGGGCAAAGTGGACAATAAGTATGGGACGGAGGGAGTAGTGCATATCTATTTTAATATTCTCACAGTTTAAAAAACTAGTACAAATTTTTAAACTTTATGTGAATTATTTTTTTTGGGACAGAGATAATATTATAAGCACAAATTTGTTTTTTTTTTTATATATATATTAAAGTGAAAAATGTTCTCTTTATTCAAGTGACCTCTTTTACTGAATTAAAAAATTAGAGCTCAAGTTTGAACTCATAAAAATTAAAAGTGGAGCCGAGCACGGAGATAATTTGGCTCGGCTCGGCTAGTTTACCACCCTGCGGCCTAACCCTCCGGTGACCAAATTCCCCCACAAGCAAAGGCGGGAAAGACTATGAGTCAAAAAATTCTGAGACTTTACACACACACTCTTTCCTCCCAAGTGCTCTCGATCCGTAATCCCCAAATTCTAGGGTTTAATTTCAGGAGTCAAGAACACTTTGGTACATAAAAACAAGCTAGTGAACAACAATGACCAAGGCTAAATCCGAGACCGAGTCACAACCGCTCATTTCTCGACTCGGCAACCGACTCAGTACTTATAAAACTTGCCCCGGCAAAGAGCCTCTCGTCGAATTGCTTGAAGTAAGGAAATGAAGCTTATATTATTTATTATGAAATTATTCACTGTTTGAATTTGAAGGTTTTCATTTGCGCTGTCTGTTTTTTTTTTTTTAATTTTTTTAATTTATACTGTATTTGGTTGATTATGTGTAATTTTTGAGCATTAGTGGGTTTCGGATGGAATCATATGTTGGATTTTGCGCCTAATCGAAATGTTGGATTGTGATTAATGTTCAAGTTGGTCTCTGATTTTCAACTCTAGAATGATCAGTTTCTTGTGTACTGAGAAATTTCAGACATTTCTTTCGCTTTGTTAGAATATTTTCTAGTGTTTGTTGTTTGCTCTCATAGTCTAATTTTTATGGGTTTTTTTTTTTTTTTTTTGTTTTTCTAAAGTTTATTTGCATTACCTCAACTCTGGAATTACTTGCAGCAAGCTGGGAGTGCTTTGGGAGGGTTAAAACAAAGGGAATCAGAGAACCAAGTCGTCGTGAGGCCTTTCAGGGATTTTCTCATCAAATATAAACTTTTTCAGCACAAGGATAAAGATATTAGGCTTTTGGTGGCAACCTGCGTCTGCGAAATCATACGAGCCGAGGCACCCGATCCTAGTTTTACTGATGAAGTTCTCAGGGTATCTCTTTGCTTCAATAATTTACTTTCTGTATAGACATCACTTGTCATATTGTTAATTTGGCTTGTTTGATGTGGCAGGATATCTTTACACTTCTATTGAGCATTTTTGGAGAAACTGTTGATATCACAAGCCCATATTTCTCAAGGAGAGTGAAGTTGTTGGATACAGTTGCCAAACTCAAGTTCTGTGTGCTAATGCTGGATAGTGGATGTGAAGATTTGGTTCTCGAAATGTTCAAGATCTTTTTTGGTGTAGCAAGGTTAGATGTCTCCTTTCTTATCAATTTATTAAGCCGATTATCTGAGTTTAGTAGGTGACTCTGACTCTATAACAATGAGATATGCGTTATCAGGACAAGATACTTGCAAGCTTGGACCTAGATTCTCAGTCAGTAAATCAGTATATAAGCATGTCAGGATTGTGCATGTAACTTTTAAATAATTTAACTCTCCAACAAATACGACACGTCTGCTTGATGGTACTTGCTACATTTTGCTTCAGAAATCTGACATGACCTCATAGAAATGGGTGAAACGTTAATTATAAGATCAGGAGCTCCTTTTTTTTTTGATAAAGGTCATGCACTCATCTTGTCGTCACATCTCAATTCAGTCCCAAAGAAGCTAATGTTGAAAATTCACTCCCAACTGCATACTATTGAATCCCTATTTTTCCTTTATTTCCTCACTGCAGGCGTGACAGAAATATATGTTTGGAAAGACATTCATATTAGGTTGAGTAAAACACACTTAAATAATCATCAGCATATATGAATAGGAAAAAATCTTGTACAGCTCTAATTCAGCATATGACAGAAAATGAACTGAATGGGGGAGAGGGTTGGTCAAGAGAACTTCATACATTAGTTCAAGCTTTGAAAAGCTGAGCAAGACAAATGCAATGAATTGTCTTGACACATGTTCATGACATGACAAATGGTAATACTGAGAGGACAAAATGCCGTAAGATGAATTAGAAGTCATCACCTACACTTTTGTTTTTGTTTTTTTGTCTTTTTGTGTGTGTTTTATTTAGCCAAATGCATGAGGAAGCATAGGAAAATTAATCTCTTACTAATAAAAATGGTAAAATAACCAACAAACTTTGTAGAAATTCTAGGCTTCATTTGTTCACAAAAGTCAATCTCCAAAAGATGAAGAATGAAGTTCTTATGTAAGATGCATTGTCCAACATTCTTGGTGATAGAACTTAGATTTATATCGTATATGGTATATTATATTTTGTTCTCTTATGTGTATAACCATTAACTGAAGAAAGTCTTATGGGAAATTGGAAATTAGTCAAACTCATTAATGTTCAGGTATTAGCAAGCTATTCTCATTAGCTTCTTGCAATGGAGCCTTTAAAAGAATGCTTTGTCCTGTTATCTTTGATAATCTTTTGAATGGTATGATATGTAATATGCTATATTTCACTAGAAAGCCTAAACTATGAATAACGATCTTGACAGAATTTGAGCCCTTTCTTTGTAGAGAGCAGCATCCTCAATGTGTCATAAATGCAATGGCGTTCATAGTGACACACATTCTAGATGAAAAATTAGAGGAAGAAGATCACGAGCCACTGGTTTTTCAGGAGAAAGTTTCTGAACCACTGTTGGATGTTATTTTCCAAAATCTTGTCAGAGAACCAAAGGTAACTCTCAACAAAATCCTTCTACGAATTCCTGAAAGTTCCCTAATGTCAAAATTTTGTTTCATGTTCAGTTGATTGGATTTTGTCGCACAATACTGTTGTTGATAGCTTCCCTTCCTTGTCTCAATTTGTTTTTGTAATAAATAGTAAATCAATCTCACAATTTCAGAATATTATATGTTTTTTTTTGAAAAACCACATGTTCTTTCTTGTTATAGTTTCCAACGTCTCCCAGTTGAAATCTACATGATAAGTGAAAGGACTACAATAGTTTGGGAATACAATAGTTTGGTACATGTCCTGTGCCTGAAGTTCTCAGTTGAAAACCTAGGTGAAGAGGAGGGTTTCTTTAGGTTCACAGCAACCTTGACATTTTATCATTTACCATGAATCATAATCATATAAAAATCTTGCAAAAAGTAGGAACCCTGTTGCTGTATAGAGCTCAAGGCTTGGTCCAACTACAGCGTATTGGCAAGGAACATTACATATCCATGGGGATTGTGTCGTGAAAGTTGGCAAGAGTCCTCAACACAGTAAGTGAATAATTAAGAAAAACATAAGTTGCTTGTGAGCTGCTTTGGGAACAGCTCAATCAAAGCTTGGTTTTGAATGGTTACATCCGGGAGCTAGTCAATCTAGGTTGGTTTGTTAAGAAGTCAAGTCAAACTCGAGCCTGTATAAAATTTGTAGCTCATTGTTTACATAGTTGAAATCACTCCGTTGTCCATTTTGTGTTGGAGATAAAACATGAAGTCTGAGCCTTTTACGCTGTGGAGATTGTCCAGTTGTCTGATCTGTACGGGAGATTCATCTAAAGTCTAAGCCTTCTTTGATGAGGAACTTCTAATATATCTGGTTGAAATGGGATCTTCAAATGTTTTAGATTATATACGTGATCCCCAGGGAAAATCTCTTGTGATCAGAAATTTAAAGTGAACTTGGATAAAATACATAAAGGAAGTTGATTATAGATCCAAACATCTCTGAAGAGGCCAACTTTGTTCTTATTGGCTGTTAAAATTCACCGATGATGAGCTAATGCCAGTATAGCTTCTACTGTTTGAAACTGATATTTTGGACTTATCCTTTGTTTAAGCTTGTGCAAATAATGCATGGTAACTTTTTTTATGTAATGCATAAGAGATGAAACAGTTGCTAATGGTTTTGATTTATAACCTAGCTTTTTCTCTAGTGCTCCTGTAAGGATATTCAAATTGATCTTCAGTGACTTCTACAATATTTTTACTTCATACAACTTCAATTCCATGTAAAACAGTTCTGTTTTTTTAACCTTGTGTTGATGTTCAATGGAAGTCCCTCCCTAGAGTGGAATATATATAATTTGGTTTTAGAGAACTGGAATTGGTCTTGTTTTAAGGTCGACTGTTATGTAGGATATTTGATGAACTATTTTTTGGGCAGATATTTCCTTCTTCTTCTAGTGAACATCAGTTGCAACCTTCTGGTGCAATTTGAAGCAATGTTTCATGTAGTGAACTGTGGTATTTTCTTTTGCAGGATGCAGCTGTTGGCTCTGAGCGACTTGCGGTTTCTGTTATTCAGAACTGTACTGAGAAGTTTAAACGCTACATTTGCACATTTTTTAGATCATGTATTTTAAATCCAGATATTATTGAAAGTAAAACCAAAGAATCCTACCATGAAATCATTTATGAAATCTTCCGGATTGCTCCTCAGATGCTTCTCTCAGTCATCCCGAGCTTCAGTCACGAGTTGCTAGTAGGTCATTCTTGTCTTTGCTATCTTTTTCCCCACAAACAGGCATGGTCTAACTTAATTTATATATATATATATATATATATATATATAAACTATATATATATATGTATGTATGTTTTATTTATTTATTTATTTTTTGTTTTGGCTTTTTGTAGGTAACTAATTTGAATTTAGAACTTCGGTTTATCATACTGTTACATAAGTTTTACCTTCTTATTAACATATTCCTGAAGCCTTTATTGATGACAGTGCAATGTTATTTGCAGACTGATCAGGTTGATGTCCGTATAAAAGCTCTTAATTTATTAAAAAAACTCTTTTCTTTGCCCGGACACAGAAATGGTCGAGAGTATTATAGCATTTTTGCAGAATTCATAACTAGATTTTCTGATAAGTCCTCCGAAGTAAGATTATGTGCTCTTTCATGTGCAAAAGCCTTTTGCATGAGCGATTTGTCTGGGACAGAGTCGGTTGAAGTTTTCAGTAAGCTGTTCTAATCTAACTGTTTTGTTGCATTACGCATGTGTGTTCTTTCTCCATCTGAAATGTCTCCCGACAATGATACTATGTTTCGATTGTTATGCAAATGGTCAGCGGCAATACAGAGTCGGCTATTGGATTTTGATGATAGGGTTCGAACTCAAGCAGTAACCTTGCTGTGTGATCTAGGAAGATCCAAAATAAACTCGATTTCCGGTGAGGTAATTTGCCTTGTTGCAGAAAGACTTCGTGATAAAAAGGTTAGTTTATTTCCCTGGAAATTTGTGCAATTTGTGAATTCTTGAATTAATAAGACAAATTCTAACTTTTTGTATCTCCTCCACCCATCTTAAAAATGAATGAAAAAACAAGGTGTCCGTTAGAAAGAAAGCTTTGCAAAAGTTGCTGGAACTTTATCGTGATTATTGTACCAAATGTGCGGAAGATATGGCGGTTATCAGTGACCACTTTGAGCAAATACCTGGCAAAATCTTAATGCTTTTATTTGATAAGGAGTTCAGGTAAGCTCCTTTCAAACACAGTTGTTGGTCAGATAGAGGCCTTCAAACTTTCACTCATGCGTAGCAATTATTGTTCTTGTTATTTTCAGGCTTCAAAGCTTAGAGCATGTGTTAGCAGTGGAATTATTTCCTGATTCACTTTCAGTGGAGGACAAAATGAGGCACTGGATCTATTTGTGCTCGTTTTTTACACCACTTCACCTAAAGGCATTGAACATTATTCTCTCACAGAAAAGAAGGTACTGGAGGGTGTTGCGCCTAACTTTTATTTGATTCTGGCTTCTTAATGCTTGTGTCTTCTCTCAGGTTGCGGGATGCATTGCAGTCTTTCTTGTACCTATGGAGCCGAGAAAAGGTATGCTGTACTATCATCAGTGAGCTTAAAATGTTGAACGAAAGCCAGAGCATGTTGTATTTCACTCCGTTCTTTCTAATGGATCATTGTATTTCAGTTAAGTGTTACTACACATTATACGTTTGAATTCTTAAAGTTTCCAGGATTCAAAAGATTCTGATCTGAATCCTCTTCTTGCATTAGCAATGCTAAAATTTCTTTTACAATCCGCAACTGCTACAGTGATTCTCAGTTAATTTTGTCTTCCATTGATAAAAATAAATATGATTATTAAAGGGTTCCTCCTCCGAATGAAATTCAGTAAGCTGCAGAAAAGCTTGTAACCTTTAATTTGCCAATTCTTAATACACCATGATCATTTAAATATCAGTTTGGTGCAGCCAAACAAAAAGCAAGATACATATAGAACCTTGAATATTAACAAATGGAATCTTCTATAGCTCAATCCTAGTGCGTGTGTCGGCCGTCTTGCCTCAGTAAGAGAGATAGTTTTTTGATGAATATGGGTTGCCGTGATCTCATATATTATTCGGGTGCAGTTTGCCTTTTAGATGTTCGTATTGTGGGTTGGTTTATAATTAAGAGCATTAATAGACTTTTCATTTTACATTTTGACTTGTATTTCATGTCTATTCTCTCAATTTACAAACAATCTTGGGATTCCCTCATGTCTGGCAGGATATAAACTATGAAGAGATAGAGCGGAAAACAAAAGCTTTGGTTCTTAAGATATCAGCTTACTTTCCAAATCCTGAAGAAGCAAAAGATTTGCTCTATAAGCTGACAGAATTAAAAGATGATGATATTTTCAGAATGCTGAGGGAGTTGCTGTTAAATGTTCAAGATGCTCATTCTGTCAGAGTAACTTCTTAAGTCTCACTTTTGCTTTCTTCAATATTTTATGTTAACTCTTCCTACTTAGGCAAAAGAGATTTGAATAATTTTTTAAGTTGATAACTGTAAGAATTTTGACATGGCCAAACATTAACAGACATGAAGCCAATTCCCAAAGGATGAAAAATTGCTTTGATTTTGGAAATACTCTTTTTAAATAATTAGTCCTTTAGTGAAAGACATTTTTTGTTGGGACATTAATAGCAGCTGCAGAAGTGGTAACTTTTTTAAGCTTGGGATTAAGTTTTTTTTACGGAGTGAAGTGTACTCACCTTCTTTTGTGGTAACTCCCTCCTTGGAAGAGCACGGGCTTGGTCAAATTTCTGCAGGAGTCACCCAATCCTTCTTATGTATTCTGAATAATCAGTTCATTTTGGAGCTAAAAAGTGCTTATGTAGTCTGGAATTTAGGTTTATAGTGTTGATACAAACTGCAGAACTAACTTTTATAAACTAATCTACGAACAGACAATCCAATAAGTATCAAGATTTCATGCCCTAACATCTTAAGTAAGATTGTCTCTTCATCAAAAAAAAAAAAAAAGTAAGATTGTTAAAATTAATGTTTTTGGCCATTTTCAATCCATTTCACTTGCATTCTTTCAAAGGCCAATAGCTCTGTAACTTAAGTATAACTGCAGTAACCTATTGTAACGACTGATCCTATTTAATTAGCCAGATTCACACGAAGTTTCTGCTATTGGTCATCGAGAACCCATACCCAAAGTGAACCAACTTTCTGTCTTTTGATTTCTTTTTGAATGGGCTTTGAAATGGCCTTATAAATCCTACGGTAAGGACAAGGATGAATCACGAACGCAGGGCTGATCCTTAGTTACAAGTTGAGTTCCTCTTTTTTGTTTCTTATTATAATTGAACACTTCACCCTGACAATATTGTTCATGTCACTCCTCTTGATTACTCGTTGTCGGAAGATTGTAGTGACTTAAAAGACGTAAAAGCTCAATTTTGAGACAGAAAATAACCCAAGCCTTTTTCCTCTTTGGCACCACATAAGGTAGTCGTTTGATTTTGCTCAGGCGTTTAGCTTCTTATATTGTACCAAAGAGAAAAGAAAAATCTCGTTTGGAATTATTTCCCTTCTCTGTGATTATATTCTTTTCATTGTTCACTTTGAATTTCCTTCAAATCCTTTGTTCCCTTTTTTCCCCAGGATCACCTTTTGATAAAGGTTGGTAGTCATAGTCATTTTTTCGAGTTCCTGAAATTGCTTTCCGCGAAGTGCATGTTGAACATATTTAGCTCGCGCCACATTCGCTGCATTCTTGATCAGCTTACAGTTGGTGATTGTGTTGGCTATAAACATTTGAAGGATTCTTCTGTGCGACTTCTTCTGGTGAGGACTTTACGCCTTTGCTCTCTATTTTTGATAAATCTTAAGGTCTCTAATTCAACTGAAATGAGATGCAGAGGTGGATATCAGTTTCATTGACCAGTTAGAATCATGCTTGACACACGAACGAGATAACTATACCAAACACAGTTACAGTTGCCTATTCTATTTTACAATAAGCTTCCATTACATTACATTGTTTGCTGAGAACTTTTAAAATGAATGATGTGGTAGTTTTGTGTGATTAAAAGACTACAGCAGCTTATACATATTCTGATAATTTATTTTGTGTTTGGTGAAATGAACTTCATCGTAGGGTTACCATATGTACTAGCTGCTGCTTGTGGAATGTACCATGTTCCAAATATTATCATGCTTTCGATAAAAATAACTGGTCTTGAAATACTGAGGGCATTATGAGAATTACGCTGGCTCCTTATGAATATTTCTAATTAATAATGTGACTTTCGTACACATCCAGCGGACCCTATTTATGTTCTCATACAGAAAATGAAGCAGTATATTTGTGGAAATAGAAATGTCTCTTAGTTGCGTGATATACCCGTAAAAAAAAAGGGAAACATAGATAATGTTAAACATGCAGCATCATTCGAGCTCGTAGATTGTTCAAAATGAGAAAAGAAATTAGAAGTTATTGCATTTAAGTTCTCTGTTTATAAGATGATACATGAGGTATAATGTTCTGCAGATTTATGCAGTCTTTGTTCTATTGTTTTCTTGAGGACCTTTTTATTGTGTGTAATTCTCTCACAATATTACTGTCTCTGGCCTATGTACCAAATTTATATTTCATTTTCCTGTGAACAGACTGTTCTTGGTGCTTTTCCAATGCTTTTGCAAAGTTCTGAGAAAAGGTTCCTAGAGTTATTGGCCAAGGACATCATCCCTTTCAATGAACAAGTTATTCACGTAATGACAAAAGATGGATCCAATTTATGCATTGAGCTAAGGTATTTTTCCTGAAACATTAATGACATGTGGGTCTCTTGAGTTCTAGCATGTGTTTTAGTATATTTTTACCTTATGGAGGTGGGAGTATGAACTTCTACTCACATTCCTTTCCTTTACTTTAGTTGCATGGTAAATTATTTTCACTGTCCTGGTTAACGCCATCAGTCTTTCCCCTTTTCTTGTACTTTCTTTTATTTCCTTATTGCATTCCAGAAATGGCCTGTTTTTCAACATCCTAGATAGATAGCATCTCTCTTTATGATGCATGTTGCAGAAAAATATGGAACATAGTAATGTGCTGCAAACAAAGAAATTTAATTTGTTTTACTGAGGTTATGTTCAAATTTACAAACCGAGATTTCTGTCTGCAACTCTAACTCACATCATCACATTTCGTTGTACATTTGAGGATCCAATTTGGTTATCCTACTTTTTATTTGATCTCTTTTCTGCTTTCTTCCATGTAGTGATGTATATGCTTTGTTGGAGAAAGTGTGCTTGGAAGGGACTCGTGCACATGCTAAACTTGCTGTGATTGCAATAAAGGCTTTAAGTGGTTCCCGGGAGAAAGTTATTTTTTCCAAGTTGTGCAAGGTTTAGTCAACCCATCTTCTGTACCTAGCTGCTTAATTCGGTTTTATATGAGTCAGCAAAGAAACCAAACTAGCATTTGTTATCTATTTCATTCAAATTTATCTGAGTGTGCTATAACTTTTTTACTTATGGGTGCAATTGTTTGTCTTAGCAACTTCATATATTTGTTTATAGGAGCACTTAATGCACGAATTGTTGCTAGTTTCAATCATTTATGCATTCACAGGTTGTCGAAGTTTCTCTGTAAATCGTTCCCTGTTTAAGTATGGGACATTGCTTCTTTTGGTGTTGGCTTTGGACTTTTACGATTAAGTTGATCTACAGATACATGTAGATGAATAACTGGTCATCTGACCTCCAACCGAACTCGACTTCATAGTGCTTGAAATGCCATGCTTTTAGCTTCAAAGTCTTTACTTGTTATGTGCTCTATATATTTGATTACCACAATCGGTAGGAACAAATTTGTTGAATGGGTTCTGTATGCAGCTTTACTGTTGTGCCACCATTTAACTGTTGGCCGTGGGATGAACCATAGGCCAGTGGTAATGGCACTAGCACCTCAAGTGGGAGGTCAGGTTCGAATCCCACCCGCTTCAAAATGCAAAGCCCCTCCCCCTTCCGTCCCTTGGAAAAAACAAAAACTGTTGGCTTCTTCACAAACACATCAATGTCTGTTTCAAAAAAAATAGCCAAACTATATTATTTTAAAAACAGAAGATGAGGTTTATCCTAGGTGGAGAGGGTGTACAATATCATTGCATTTATACAAAGATCTGCATCATAAAATAATGAAGCCATTGCAGATCTCTTACCTGACTAACAAATTTGTCTAATTCACTACATTCTCTAATGTTCAGCATTGTGCAGTACGAAGATAGAGCATTTTTTGGTTCTGATCATTGGTTATTATTTTTTTTTATCAGATCCTTCTGGATTCTCTGCGTCATAGCAAGAACGTGCCTACCGTGTTGCAGTCTCTGGGATGTATAGCCCAACAATCTCCATCTGCACTTGAAGCGCATGAAGCAGATATCACTAGTTACATTCTTGAAGAAGTATTTACCTTAGCCAAGGTATGTGTTAGTTTTTGTGATTCATCTTCATCCAAACATTAGCAATTATGTGTAGTTATAAACAATTCAGTTAATTCTTTCCTCATCTCCTCCCGTCTGTGATAACTATTGGATCTTCTTACTTTAAACTTTTTGTAAATCTATTGGGTAGGTGGACAAGTCAAATAAACTAAATTCAAATTGTGAAACTTCTCAATGTTGCAAATCTTGCATGCTGCAGGTGAGCGCCCCATTCTTGACTTCAGAGCAAATATGTATGGTGGTCTGATTTTTTTTCACATTCTAATATTACTTTTCAAGTTGGCTACTCTACTTGTCACAAAACATGCACACATTACATCTCTAGTTATCTTTCTACCCATGTGATTTTATTTTAAGTTGATTTCATCACCAAAGCTGCTAGGATTCCTTCATCGTTACATTTTTGTTCACTGTCTATCTCTGAACTTACAAAGATAACTTCTGCACTTGGTAAAAGAAAGCAAAGAAATATCAGAAATTATAGGGAGTTAAGTTTTTTTTCTACCTGTTTTGTCATTTCTTTCATATACTTATTTTTGGCAATACTATTAATCAATCCGTGGGCTTGCAAATTCTTACCTCTGGCTTAGGCCAGTGAATTTATGCACACCTTTCTGCTTGTTTTATGGTTTTGGTGACAACTGAAGTTTCTTTAGTTTCTTATGTCATATTTACTGACATGGTGCATAAGTAACCTTGATATCGGTAAATGTTGGCAGAGTACTTTTTTTTTTCAAAAAAAATAAAATAAAGGGCATTAAAAGCTTTTGTACTTGTACTGCATCTGTTCACTTGAATCAGTATCTTCTCAGAAACAGTATCTAAATTTCATTCTTTGTATGAAAATGGGGAAAAAGCTTTTTAGGATTACTGAACTTCATAGTTTTACATTTTTAACAGCAGTTGTTATTGTGTTACATTTTATATACTTCTGTTGCAGATATATGGTCTAAAAGCACTGGTAAAGAGTTTTTTGCCTACTGGTCATTCTCCTGGTGATCAGAACTTCAATTATTTGCTCAGTGTTATCACAAAAATGCTTCAGACGGGATGTGTCTCTGATGTTACAGATCCATGGTAAGTTAAGCTGCACTAAAAGATAATAACATACACAGGCTTTTTGCATACGCTAGTTACTTCTGGATGTTTTATAATCATCTGAGATACTGCATTTGTATGCAGCTTTAAGCATTAGGGGTCAAAGCAAGATATTTCAAAATGAGTTCTTTTTGGCACTTTACACATATTCCATAAAGATCACTTATGTCAATGCTATGAGTTTTGCTTATTGAATTTAAAGATGCAGCTAATTTGGGTTGTAAACTTATGCTGAATGAGTACAAGTATTGGGATAATCTCTAAAGCCCATATGTTTGCTGTGTCAACAATGACGAACTGACAACAATGTACTAGAGTTTTTCTAAAGTACCTTCCAGCTAAAGATAAATAGCAACAAGGTGCAATATATATTGTCTGATGGCCCAGTAGTATGAATGGTATAAATCATCATACAAATTATTTGTGGTTAATGGTTTTAGGATGTTCAATAGGAATAACAAAGCAAGTCTGTGCATTTTTTGGAAGGGTTTGGCTTAATTTAGAACTTTCTGAACTTCCACCATCCTTAATCAGCTGTTTTTCGCCCACAAATGTAAACATTCATTATCACTGTCTCACTGCAAGGCTGCCATCAGTAGCTTCTAAATCTGCATTTCTGACTTTACATGTGCTGATGGAAAATAATACCCAGAAAAATTCCCCCTCTAAGCATCCATTTTATTTATTCATTTATTTATTTTTCTGTTCTGGTTTTAAGTTTGCAATATTGCATTTCAAATGTACTCTATGCAGGACTGATTGATTTGATTTTCTATCTGTTCTTTATTCATGCTATATTTATTTTTCAAATCTTTTCTCTGGGGATGGGGTTCCTTTGCTTACTATGTTTTTGTTTCCATCTATTTTTAGACTAGCGTTGCAGAGCGTTTATAGTTTTCCGGAAAAAGCCTTACAGTTGATGCAAAGTAGAAAATTGACCAGCGAGATCTCTTCTGAAATGTTTTAGTATGCCTTTTCTTAAAAATCTAAAAATTAATTAAGTTTTAAATGTGTCTTGAAAACGTTAAAAACTGCCTCAGATACTTGGAGAAAATGAATAAACCTTTGATTCGTATTTCCATATGTAGTTGCCGGTAAAATGTTTTCAGAACTTATTGGCCTTCAAGTTTTTTTTTTTTTTATTTTGGGCCCGGGGGGGGGGGTGGGTTTAGAATGACCCTGCATTGTTCATATTTTCATGTTATTGCTTTTACCGTTTTCTTGAAGAAGTAATTTTTAATATAATTGGACAGGATTATCTCTTTCTTTCTGATCTAGCTTGTTGGAAATCATTTGTGATTTGTTTATGTAAACCAGTTGGATAAACCTGTTTTGCAGCCATTCTGACATGGGCAGTATCCAATTAGCCGCAGCAAAATCTGTTCTTTTGCTTTCAAGAAAATGGGATCTGCATATTTCACCTCTAATCTTCCGCATGACCATGTTGGTAGCTACGGTAAGGATAGTCCTTTTTACCAATATCTTTAGCAGGTGTGCTAGACCTTCGGTAGTATTGTCCCGTTTGTCATTACCATGTGCAGATTTTACCATTCCCAGCTATGGATGCTTCTTATCTGTGCTTCCCTTTACATTATAATCTCTAATGCCTTCCTCTTTTCTTGTTTAGTTGTAAGTTTATCAACTATATACAGACCATCAATTTTTCGTAACTATTTTAGTTCTAGTTGTCCCGGTCGCTATCGTCTTCAGAGCAAGAAGCATATCAATGATGTATTAAATTCTTCTGGTGTTGTCATCAATTAATTAATTGTTAGCAAATACTCCCTCCATTTCAAATTATAAGTTGTTTTAGGTTTGGAGGAATATTTCAAAATATAAGTCGGCTTAGGAATTCAAAGCAAATTAATTGCTAATGTTCCAAGTTTGCCATTCAGCTCAATACATGATGCCAACTATTTTCATTTAGTCTTGTTTTTAATTTCAATACAATTAATGAGGGGTAAAACAGATATTTGACACAAATTAATTGTAGAATGATTGATGTTGTCTCCTTAATTTACGTGCAAAATCTAAAGTGGCTTATATTTTGAAATGGACGGAGTACATTCGTGGTTTCTTGGTGTCTCTTCCATAAATTAATTTTGCTTTTCATTAAATTTTTAGATGAGGTTAAACGGTATTGTCTTCTACATAAACAGATGTGGTAAAAAGGATAAACCCAATTAAAATCTTAAATGAAATGCAAGGATAACAAATTATGAAACCTGGAATTTGATGGATAAACCCAATTTCATGATGGATCACTAACAAGTTTAGCTGTCTTATTTGAACTAGCTTTGCAGTCAGGTTTCCTTGTCCAAGCGTTTCATATGCAGAAATATTAATTCCCTTTACCCATGAACCTCCGCAATTAGGTACTGCACATCATTTTGTTGTCACCTGAAAGCGTAAGATGACAAATTGCAAGGAAGTCACTTTTCATCACCTCACTAAAACCATTCACTGCATTCAAAAAGTCACTGAGGAAATCAAATGATAAGACTATTTCTATTTCTCATCGATATTCCATGACAAATATATTCGCACTCTAGAGGAAAGTGAGGTTAAGATGCGTTGCTCTGTGGGACACTTATCCTGGGGTTCCTCATTCAATTACTGAATTTCTGATACTTTTACTGTTTGTTTGGTTATAGTTCCCCAGCCCAGGTTCCATTAGCATAGATTTCCAGTTTTTTTTTACGAGATTTTCTTACAACCTCAGTGGTTTTGACAATGAGCCAAATAGGAAAGAGTACCTCATGCATTTCTCAATTTGTGTACAACCAAATTCTGCATGTCACATCTTATGAATTCCCTCATTTCTTTCAGGTAGGTCCTGTGAAATTTCTGTTTTGTCTCTAGTTCCTGTCTCTAGTCAGACAGTCTCTGATGCACATGTTTACATTTCGAAGACAACTTCTTACATTTCTATTGAATCCTTTTACATTTCCAGAACATGAACCTTCATTCAAGGCCTAAGTATTTCAAACACTTTAGAAACATGCAAGTGCACTTCACTTTTCGTTCTCGGCTTTGATTCTAATTTCTTTTTCTCTCTTTTTTTAAACTTGTTTTTTTTTCTTTTTTTTTTTAACGTATAAAAATCAGATCCAGGAGATGATGCGCCTATGGGCATCCCCGAGTTTATTAAAAAAGAAAGAAAGGAAAAATTAAAAGAGTAACCTATCCAATCTAAATAGACTCAAACCACAAGTAAATGTTTGACAGACAATAACAATCATGAACTGGAGAAAGAAACTAAAAGTTAGCCAAATATTTTCTTTTTGGGTATAATATAAGGAGGGAAATGATGTCTGAGTTAATCACACAATGATCTGGTTGATCATATTATTATAAAACCGATACTCCACATGTTTAGTATGATCTGTCTTTATTTTGATACCTTTCAATTCTTATGCTTTCTTCCAATCTTTTACTTTTGTTCTTTTTGTCACCTCACTTACCAACATGATATCATCTGCTAATAACGTGAATTCATTGAATAAGTTTCTGCTCATGTTTCATTAGCTCTTCTGCTTTGCAAATCTTGGGTTTTGGATTAATCTAATTTTCATTAATTTTATTTTGGTCCTCAATGTTCAGAGTAATGTTTGTTTAATTTTGATATTCTCCATTCTTTTCCTGAAATATAATTTGCTGAACAAAATGAATTCTTATCATGTTTGTTCCTAAACTATGTTCCACCTTTTTTCCAGGACAATAGTCTGTTGCTGCGTAGGCTTTTTGTCAACAAAGTACAGAAGCTTCTAAAGGAGCATGCAGTGCCTAGTAGATATGCCTGTGCATTTTCCTTTGCTTCATCAGATGCAGATAAAACTCTGTATGATGATGTGGGTATATAGCTTGTAGAATACATTATAGAACCAATCTTTAACATATATTTTCTTTTCCTCGTCATTTAAACTTTGACTTTTTCCCCCCTTAATCTTAGTCACTGAAGTATATGGGAGAATACATAAAATTAAACGCCAAAAGAGCTGGACTTGACGAAAGCGCTCCATTGTCAAGATGTCTCTTAAAACATCCTGTCTACGTGATTGTCTTCTTGATCCATCTTCTTGCACATGATAGTGGTTTTCCTCCCATGGATTGCCTCGATGCAGAAATGTACCAAAAACCTGTGAGGTTAGGTTATCTCACAGCTTGCACATTGTAAAGATTACAGTTTGTCAAAGAAGGTATACTAAAGAATACTGCTCTTATTTAACTAGTTCCTTTTTTTCTCTGCCACCTTTGCCAGCAGTATACTGCATTTCTGCATACGAGCATTATTAAACATTCATTTCTACGATAAAGATTCTGAAGTTGAAAAGACTGCTTTTTACTTGCGGAGTATCTTTATCGCAATTAAACGAGCTGAAGATGCTGTTGATGCTCAAAAGACTCCAGTAAGTATAAGCATGTCCACAGGAGAATCCTTTTGTATATTGTATGAGGCTATTGTCTTAATGAATGTATTCTATATGCACTTCTATTCAGAAAGTCTTAATGCGAACAAAATTTTTTATCATGGCCAGAAGCTGCATTTTTTAGCAGACATGGGGATCTCTTTATTGCACCATGCAGGCGGAAAAGTCCCCAAAGCTGACAATCCTGAACTTATTTTGCTGCCATCATCACTCTACAAATTGAGCCTTCCCGGGAGCAGAGAGGTAAGTTCTCTAGCTGACACATTTCATTATGGAATTGTCTTGAAGTCAAGTGAGAAAGTGAGAAGGCTGTAATCTTTTCAGGGTTATTCCACCTTTTCCTCTCACAATGAAAGTGGTGCAACTTTAATCGAGAAATTAACTGGAATGATTGGAAGTAGGACCTCTCAGGTATATTTAAGTTTTTAGTTTCCTTTCATCCTTCTCTGTTCACCGTTAAGAGTTATCCATATTAATATTTCTCTTAATTGTCAGGATTCTTCAACCACGGAGAAACGTGGTAAAATCATTAGCAAGGAGGATTTCTTGATTACTGAAACCAATTGTATGAATGAAATTGCATCAAGAGCTAAAATAATAGAACGAAGCAACAAACCATGTTCTTACCAGAAGCAACTGCATGAAGCATCACCTCTGGGAACTGAAGCTGATGGAAAATCTTTGGCCGTCTCTTTTCCACCTCCTAAAACTTTTGAGAACAGTGAGTTCTTAATTGGAGATGAAGATATTGAAAATTTTGAAGCTGTCAGTAATGAACAATTTCCATCTTCTCACAACTCAGTGGCCACAAAATGCACATTAGTCCAGAAGGATGTCCTATGTGGCCATTCAACAGAGATGGACATGCTTGCAAGATGCAACAGTAGGCCTGGTAAATCCAAATTGGAAACAGCCAATTATTATAAACTGAGAAACTCAAAGGTATGTTACAAGTGTTTTGATTATCCAAAATTGTGGGTTGGGTATTAAGATGTTGATATCTTGTTAATTTCTGTGCTTAAACAGGAAATTAAAGACAAGGTTGATAGACTAGATGTGGAGCATTTAGAACCTGTAACTACAAATAAAAGGTATAAGGTTTCAATTGAATCTATGCTACATTGCTACCTTCTAATATTGTAGCGTTTTACAGTAATAATGTCAAAGAGTTCTTATATATTTTTTCCCATTTAGCTTTTGCGTGACATCAAATGAGGATAAATGTTATAGCTAGCATTACATACTCTTGCTGTGGTGACTTTCAATGTCCAGACATCTCTTGCCAGGACTCCTGTTAAACTAGGTTTTTTTTTTTTTTTGGGTTAAGGTTCTACTAGATTTTAAAATACTAATATGGGTTATGCCTACTCCTTTTCTGAAACCACGTTCACTTGCCTGAAGGATTTTAAAATACTGTATTCATGTTCCTATATCTAGTGAATAACTGTTTTTAAAAATAAAAAAATAAGTGCATAAATGAATCTAGTGAAATTTTTCTTGAGAGCATTCATATGCCTGAAGAATCATCTATTTCTGCATTTTAATTGTAAAGACAGTACTGCCAATACTGAACTTAGCAAAGCACAACAGAATTTCTGGACATCCTGATAGTACTTATTTGATTTTAGTCTTGAAGTTCCTCTTGCAGTCCCAAACTTACAGAAGAAAACCTCTCTATTCATTCCTATGATCTGAAACATCTGTAGTCATTATTGGATTCCTTTTCCTACTTATGGGTGGAAGATCAAAGAACCGTGTGAACGTGCCATGTTTTTCTAGTTCCCACATTGCTCTCGAAAAGAGCAATCTAGCTTGACTGAAGCCTTTCCTTTTCTGTTGCTAAAGCCAAGTACCCCGTCTGTCCCAAACTGACTGCCTGTTTGTTGTATTTCAGCATACAGGACAATTATTTTGGGACAGAGGGAGTATCATTTAAAGCTTTTGTAGCCTAGGGTTAGATCATTTCCTTCTCAACTCTTGACATCTTTACCTGGATTTTCCTTCCCTTGATTTACCACTTCAACTATTGTTTATTTTTCCCCTGGTTTCGGGAGTCTGTGGTATGGCAAAAGGCTGTACTGGCCATCAGAAACATTCATGCTGTCCTGGCAAACTAAACTGTCAGGGACAATGCGAACTGAGGGTACTGATGTGAAGCAGATATGAAAATGGAGAACTTTCAAAACTTTACACTATATGCTCATCTAGTTCAGACTCTTAGTATAGACAGATTTGATTCAGACTCTTATCATTGTGCTAATTAGTCAATGTCTGCTTATCTAGTTCTTTTTCTTTTGGCCGAAGTCCTATTCACATATTTGATTATGATTCTAATTCTCTGAAGTTTTAGGCTTTTGATAGCTTTGTCCATTATTTTTGGCAAAGTAATTTGTGAAATATCTAGAATAGGTTTAGAAATGTGCATTGCATTTCTTATCCTTTTGAAATCAATTTGCACGTTATTAGCATTTCATTGCCTACAAAACATTGGTGTTAATGATCTTCGATGTGGATATTGTAACAGCCATGCGGAGCAGAGTTGTGTTAGCAATCAAATGGAAACCTCGAATTTGTTATTGCATGACTACAATACAAAATCAATAAAGACGAACAAGTTCTGCAGCAATCGAATCCCTCTACGTGGTAAGATAGGAAAATGTCTTTTTATCTGTATCAGTAAAAAATTAGAGTTTGGAAGCATGCCATCAAGAACTTTTCTGTTATTTTTTTTCCATTGATAGGTCTTTTACTTCACCAAACAAAGTTCACTCATCGTTTTTTGATCTTATCATGTTATGGCAACAAACAAGCCATGTCCATGCTCAATGTCAACTTTCAGTTAATGCTCGTTGGACACCTGCTATAGAGAAATTGAACAATAACATATGTCTAGATAACTTTCATCAACTTGCAGTCTTTTCTTGAGATCGAGTGTCATTACCCACACCAAAGCAACTGCTTCCATATCTTAATAGAGTTTGTGGAATTTGTTCTTGGATCTCATGCAATTGATATAGATGCTGTTGTATAGATAGTGTAATCATCTGTTAGTTAGTTTGTCTGAGATAAGTTTTTATTGAAACTGTCATCGGATATGTTGTTCTTTGCTGAAATTGTAGTGGAACAATCGGACACCAGGAAAGAATTTTCCCATGATGGTTCCACAATAAGTGAAAAGCAGAAGCTTCTTTCTGGCTGTTTTTGTTCCCCAATTTTGTGAATGTCATCTTGTTTGTTTTGCTGTTTCGCAGAAAATGTGGAGAGGGTGCAAAAATCAAAAAGTGCAGCCCGGACAGCAAATGAGAAAGAAAATGTAAGATTTCGCTAAAATTTCTTTCATCTATTACACGAAATTTTCCTCTACAAGCTTCAACACTGAAAATGTTCATCACATTCTCGGCGAAATTTAGTGTCCATAGTGACATTTTTTAGTGAGTACTGCCTCGAAATTTTTTCTGCAAGGTTAACCAATCACTGAACGTTTTTATTAACTTGTCCTTTCTTATTTCAGATTGGTCGAACGACTCGGAGGAGATTAATCTAACCTAAAAGTGTCCATTTTCCTGCATATTTGTTGGGGAGTATTAATGACACCATATTTCTTGTACTGGCACCTCCTTTGTGCCTATCAGCTTGTTACGAATTACAGCAACAATGTAAATTTGAAAGAATTATATCTATTAGATATGGTTTTAAAAGTTTGTTAATCATCACTCCAAATTTAAAATTTAATCATCGGGGTCTAAGAATGGAAATTGATATTTCATTGTAAATAAAAACTCTTGCCGTTACAATTCAAAACATGAAGAAAGCACATATTAAGGGGAACGCAATAAGCTAAGGTTTCTAAATTAAATCTCATGGACATTTGACAATTGACAATTGGAGTCTATCCAGTATACCCGGGGGTACCATACTCTCTCTCTTATTTTTTACACTACTAGTCCTTTCTACACTTTTTTCTATTTTTCTAAATAACATCCTATAATTTATAGGTTTAGTCCTTTTGATTTTTTTTCTCTCTCATTTAAAAAATATCTCTAATTTTTAAATGATCATATCTCATGATCCGTAAAAATTTAGAGAACATGTTATACATGAATTTTATTGTACTTGTCGAGATCTATCCAACAAGATCCATGTCGTATATTTTTTTCGAGTTAAAAAATGACTAGCTTTCGATGGACAGAATAAGATGGATATCTAGTTTAGAAAGATGGATAACCAGTTTAGTTTAGATTAAGATTCTTGTATTGCATATATCTCTTGATCCGTAAAGAATTAGAATACGAATTATACATGAAATTTATAGTGCTCGACGAGATCTATCCGATAAGATCCATGTTGAATATTTTTTTTGAACTTTAAATGCATTTAAATTTTACGAGCAGATATAAAGAAATGTGTTTTTTTGTTCTTTTTTTTTTTGAAAAATGGTTATCCGTTGTGTTCCTACTGATTATCCAACCGGTTTGCACTGATTATCCCTTCTGTTTGTACTTGTTATCCAATCATATTTTTGACATTCGCTCTTCAAAAAAAAAAGAAAGAAAGAAAAAATGATTGGATAAGCATTGCAAATAATTTGGATAATCAATAGAAAATAATTGGATAATCAGTGCAACACGTTGGATAATCAGTACAAAAAAGTTTGACAATCATTTTCATAAAAAATACTGGATAACCACCACAAAGAAGTTGGATAATCAATATGAACAAATTGGATATCCAGTTTAAGAAGATGGATAACCAACTTATTTTACATTCATATTGTTGTGTTCCTTATATCTTTTAATCCGTAAAGAATTATAACACGAATTATATACGAAATTTATAGTGCCCGACGAGATCTATCCGATAAGATCAATGTTGAATATTTTTTTTGAACTTTAAATGCATTTAAATCTTACGGGCAGAAATGAATAAACTGAAAATGATTATCCGTTGTGTTCATACTGATTATCCAACCGGTTCGGACTAATTACCTATTTTGTTTTATCCAATCATATTTTTTACATTCACTTTTCAAAAAAGAAAAAAAGAAAAAAGAAGATGGATAACCAACTTAGTTTAGATTGATATTCCAGTACAAGCGAGTTGGATATCCAGCACAAACGAAATGGATATCCAGTACAAACAAGTGAGATATCCATTACAAACAAGTTTGATAGGCATACAAACCAAATGGGTGGATATCCAGTACAAACAAGTTGGATAACCAATTCAAACTTGTTGGATAATTAGCATAAATACAATGGATAACTAATTTAAAATGAATTGGGTTATCCATCTTATTCTGCCCATCGAAATTTAGTCATTTTTAAACTCAGAAAAAATATTCGACATGGATCTTGTTGGATAGATCTCGATGAATACAATAAAATTTATGGGTAACACGTTTTCTAATTTTTCACGGATTGAGAGATATGATCGTTTGAATATTAGAGATATTTTTTTAGAAGAGAGAGAAAAAAGGATTTTTTTCCCAAAAAAATTAATTAAAATAAACATGGACAAATTTAAATTTTTCAGAATATTTGTGCACAGAATTATATCTCTCGGATTTTCGAAATCTGAGTTTCGATTAAAATTAAAGATTCGGATTTCGAAAATCTGAGACTATATTTAATAATAAATAATAATTAAATAAATTTTATTGAATAATAGTTTTTAAAAATTCTTAATGAACAGTGCCGTTCGAATTTGCGAAATCTAAATTTAATTAAAAAATAATAAATTGAGGCGCGAAATATTTGAACTCAAATAAGGAGTCCATGACCAGGATTCTTTAAATAAACAATAGTACTCGGATTTACAAAATCGGAGTTCGCAAAAAGAAAAAAAGAAAAAAAGAAAATCGAGGCGTGAAATTTTTGAATCCAAAAACCGAAAGTCCGTACTTTGGTTTTCTGTATTCGGATTTTGGAAATCCGACTGCTTTTAATTTTGGTTGGTGGAAGTAGGCACGTGTCATAAATTGGACCAAAAAATGAATAAAAAAAATCCGAAATTGACGAAACTCGGATTCAGGAAATTCGAATCCACCTTAATTCGGATTTCGAAAGTCTGAGTTACTTACGGGCTCGGATTTCGGAAATTTGAGTTTATTGTGCTATAAAAGAAAAAAAAAATTCAGACAGTTCTTATTCGAGAACTGAGTGGGATTTTCTGTTTTTACAGCTCAAACAAGGGCGAATTGGAGCTTTTGATGCATTCTTGCCTCTAGATACGTGAGAATCGTTATTTAAAAGATGTTAGATTGCAAAACCATATTATTTAGTTTAATTTTGTGTTATTTTGATTGTTAGAATGATGTATGATAGATTAGGGTTTATGTTGGTTGGTTGTTTGGATGTTTTAGGTGTTGATTTTGAGGTTAGAGATGAGAAATCATAGTTATTCATGAGATATAGAAGTTGATTTATAAGTATTTTAGTATTTTATAGGTTTTTTGAATTATGAATGGAGTATGTATGCGTATTTGTTGATTTTGTTATTAAGAAATGATTAGATATTGATGTTTCTTTTTAAAGAGTTATTAATGGCACGTAATGTATCATACATGCTTAATTTGTTTCATACAAGCAAATATGTGATATACACTTTTTCGAATATGTCGGATCATGGTTTGTTTGTTGCGGAAAGGTTGTCGTATGAGGGATTGATTAGTAAGATTTGTATGATACTTGGTTGGGATCCAGCACACGTGAAACTCTACCTTTCTTTGATTTTCGATAGTCCCGGTGATAGGCGTGTAGTGAAGATCAAGAATGATTCGCATGTAGAGTTCATGAACCGTGTAGATCCAATGTCATGTTTAGATTTATACACAGATTTGGAAGATATCACTCCCGAAGAAAGAGAAGCGAGTTTGGAAAACGTGTCATTTGGTGGTTTTCCAAGGGGGGAACGTGCTAGTACTTCTCGAAACCGTGATGAAGAGGAGACACCTTTATTTGTACAAGATAACTACCGGGAAGAGTCGGATCCCAACTACATAGCTCCAAGTGAAAGCGAAGAAGACTGTGATGTCTCCGGAGAGAGTGATTTTGAAGAAAGTGATGATGAAAGGTTGGAAAATGAGGAAAGGGATTGTAATCCATTGCCCCGATGCCATGTATATAGTAAGATGGGGAAATGGGATGCCTCATGTGTGGACAAGGATGAGTTTGCTCTTAAGATGTGGGATGAGACGCCTGAAGGAATGGACATTGGTGTTTGTTTCAAATCTCAATCAGAAGCAAAGCATGCTGTGAAATTATGGAACATCCATCATAAAAGGGAATATACGGTCGCCGCGAGTAGTCCAACGACGTGGGTTGTGCGGTGCAGAACATTAAATGTGGAAAGTGAGGATGGTGAACCACCATGTGAGTGGAAGATGCGTGTGTCTTTGAACGCTCACGGCCTTCATGAAATTGTGAGATGGCATGATGCACATAATTACATGACTCTCGTGAATGATAATGGCAATCGGTGTGTGGACGCGTCTTTGATTGCTAGACTCATCAGGAGAAAGGTTGAGGACAACGTAGATTATACGGTAGCCTCGGCACAGAAAGATGTGAAGACCTTATTGAAAGTAGATGTGCCATACAAAAGAGCGTGGCACGGGAGAAGGAAAGTCATAGAAGCGGTCTATGGTGATTGGACCCCGAATTTCGAAGAACTTCCACGGTAAATATCACCTTTTATCCGTGTATTGAAATATTTTGTGTTTTTTTTTACATGTATTGAAATATTTTAACTATGATTTGTTTGTTGTGTAGGTATATTGCTGCGCTTAAGTTTACTAATCCTGAGACTGTAGTAGAATGAGAATGGAAGGAGGGACAAGAAGGTTGGAACAGGGGAAATAGGACATTTAAATACGTCTTCTGGTCATTTGCACCAGTGGCTGCGACGTTTTTTGAATGTCCACCAGTCATTTATATCGATGGAACCTTCTTGCGTGGTGGATACAATGAAAAATTGCTTATTGCGGTGGTCTATACCGCAAACAAGCATATTTTACCAGTTGCATTTGCGATTGTGGATGAGGAGACAGTAGAGAGTTGGACATTTTTTATAAGGAATTTGAGGTTGTAGGTTGTGCATGATAGAATCGTAAGTGTGATATCCGACCGGAATGCAGGGTTGTTGAGCGCAATGTCACAGATGGATGAATGGCGTGATTTAGGTGATGGTGGCCACTTTCTTTGCCTCTGCCACGTTCGCAGCAATCTTCTGTCGCGATATAATAGCAAAAAGGTGAAGCGGTTATGTTGGAAGATGGGCACGACGCTTTCAAGAGTGAAATACAACCGTATGAGGGCAGAGCTTATTGAATTCAAACCTGCTGCATGGGAGTATTTTTGAGGGATTGGAGGGAGTAACTGGGCTCGATTGAAAGCCGGTCTTTGCCGTTGGGGCATAGCGACAACCAACATTTCTGAGAGTTACAACAATGCGTTGAAAGGGATCCGATTTTTACAAATTAGAGCCTTGATCGATGCAACCTTTTGCAAAACTGTGAAATTCTACAGAGAAGAACAATTGTCTGCGAGAAATTGCAGTACACCGATCCCTCCTGAGTTATGGAAAAAGATACGAGAAAATGAACGAAAAAGCAGCCAGTAATCTACCCCTTTTGATGGTGATGATGCTATGTGGTGGGTTGTTATTGCAACACAGCTAAGTGGCAAGGGTGAGTCTTTGCATACGGTGAAGTACGATGAACATAGGCGTTCGTGCAGGAAGTGACAAGAGTAACGGATGCCTTGTATGCACGCACTCCAAGTTT